TTTGTTTTACGGATTTCCACTCACGCCGCCGTCTCCTTACCTTCATCCTGGAGGCCTTCTTGCCTCCTCGGACGGCGTTATCCTCGAAGGAGAACTCGTTCTCCCGGATGACGGCTCTGCTGTCTTTGTCTCCGACGTATGTCACTACGTACATGTCAGGCGCCCACATCTCAAACTCTCTCTCCCAGTTGATGATGGTGGAGAGGGGCGCGCTGACCAGGAACGGCCCTTTGGAGTGACCCTGGAAGAGGAGACGAGAAGTGAGTGTAAAGCATCATACAGATAAAGGTCACCGGCGCTTTGCCCCAGACCCACTGGTCTTAACTCCACCTGGTAAATAAAAGTGTTCAACAAACTCTTGGGATTCCCAAATTTAACTAATCTGTAAAATATTCTGTGCATTACAAAAAATATCAACATCTCGGGTGGAAGTCGATCGCTGATTTCAACTAATGAGTCTATGACTGAAAGCATATTTAAGCTGCTTTTCCCACAAATCAATAAAGAAACTAAAAATATTGTCAATAAAATCCTAGTAAGTTCAGTTGGAGGAAGTTTGCAGGAAGTGCATTCTGGCCTCCCACCTTCAGGTGGCAGCAGCCGCACATATGATGAGTGGTGGTTTACTGTTTCTGATCCAGCTTAATGTCGTCAGATTTCACCTGGTTTATACAAAATGGCTGGATGGCTGCTAGCCAATAGGATGACAGCCACCTACAGACAACAGCCACACAGAGCAGCGCTGCGTTGTAGCACTGAACAAAAAATTCATTTCATTAATTCATCTCAAACTAAATTCAACAAAAACAGAAATAAAAATCACACGAGTAAAACTGTTTAAGCCTGGTTCGAGTAGAAGCTCAAATTTCCAACAAAAAGGTGGAGAAGAGCTAAACCCAAAGCTTTTTAACCACAAAAGAAGATCTACAGTTACAGCTCCAGCATGTGCGGCCCCACAGGGGTATAACAGGATCCAGCGTCTCACAGCCACTCACCTCTTTATACAGCGAGTAAAGGAAGACGGCGGTCTGCACCGTCTTTCCCAGACCCATCTCATCGGCCAGGATGGTGTCGGTGCCCTGAGCCCACGAGAACCGCAGCCAGTTGAGACCCTCCAGCTGGTAGGGGTGCAGCGTCCCCCCCGTGCTGTCCAGGTATTCCGGCTGCCGCTCAAATTTGATGGTGGGCTGGAAACGGAAGAATTACAATTTATAAACAAGGGCAGACGCAATCAAGGCGCTTTATAGTCAGGAATATCAGGAATTATTTTTAATTTAAAGAAAATATAAATTTATAACTACAGGAAGTGTGTCATCAAGACCACCCAGAAACTCTACAGAGGAGAAGAAGCCCACCTCTCCAAAGACAGCCAGGCCTCGGGAATATCAGGAAGAGTTTGAGGGCACATAAACATTTAACCATTTTCTTCCCTCTGGTTCTTGTGGGGATTTATTCATCTGCACTTTGGAATGCGGCTCATCCAGTTCTGGAGGTACTGGCTTTCTCATGAATCATATGGAACTAAATGGCAATTGACCTCAAAGTTGCTAAAAACCAACCACGAAGATGTCAGTTGATGGATGTCAACGGTAGAAAGAAAACACTTTGAGTGCCATTTAGTTTTACTGGATTAAAAAAAAAAAACAGTCACTTTTAGAGGCAACCCAAGCGGTTTTGGAGGATGTTCATGCATCAAGGTTATTTTTATGCTTTTAGATAATCGTTGTTGAATTTGAATTCCCAAATTCAGAACTTAGAAAGACCAACTAAATTCTTTCACCTTTAAAAAAACGATCAGC